GTAGTTAAAGAGCTAATTCCACTGGTAGAAATCTAAAAGTGGGCAATTTACTGGATGGAGCAGCTATTCTGCTCATCACGCCGAAGATGTTCATGAGATCTTTAATAACCACCATTCAAATAAAAAAAACCCCATCGAAATCAGATCTCATAAGGCGGAGATAACCCACTAGCCCCCTTTTTTGCCCCTTTTTGGAGGAAGTACCCCTTCAATCAAAAATCCCCGACAAAAAAATCGATAGAGTCGTAAAACTTGTATATACAAGTTTTGTCCAGATCGGTTATAAAATACGACTTGTAGAAGAGTACCAACAAACTGACAGAAGAAAGCAAATTTTGCTAGACTTAAAGCATAGCCGATCCGTTCGCTTCTTCTACCTTTTAAAAATTATAGACTTATCTATATTCTATATAGGTATGTCATCTTTTAAAGTAGCATAAAGGTAATATGTAGTATCTATATTTCTTTACCTTTATTTTTAATATAAATTTAACAAGAATTGTAAATATCAACACAAAGTTCGGATAAGATTTAGGCACCATTCTTAGTCTCTCAAGATTAATGTTGAAACGCTCTCGGTTACTACGAAGCAGCGCGGCTGTCGCACGATAAATTAAACGCGGCTCATAATAGGAGTTGCATATTAAAACTAACTATTATCCCACTCTAACTATAGAGAAAATCCTTTGAAAGACAAGGACATAAATAGTGGCGTCACCGTCGGACCGCTTTTTTGTTATTCCACGAGACTAACGGTTTGCCGTAACTCAGTTACTGTGATGACTATTTCTATTCCTTGAAAAATGTTATAAGCTAAATCTTTTACACAGGATATTAAAATAATAACATAAAACCTTTTTTTTATTTCATTTATTTTTATATAAGTAAATTTTTATATGTATAAGAATTTCTTGGTTATTTAGGTTAAGTATAATATGTAGCAACCAGTATGCGAGTGAAGCGATCTGACCAGATTACTCGGCCGGCCCTGGCGTACCTATCTGCAATCGGTAAATGGTTACTTTAAGTCTCGATATGCCAACTATTCCCCATGGAATGTCACCGTCAATGCACCATACTTATATGTGCTCGGGCGGACTGAATTTTTTCTTATCGCCATTGCATTTTCTGCAAGTTTTCAATGTGAGCGACACGAACGAGCGGCTACGCAGATCTCTAGTCGAGTTGTCCGCTCGTTTTATGATGCAACTTGAAACGATGCTAAAGTACGCGCCAATTGCCTTATGATATATTAATTAAGTATATTTCATATTTATTTGTATTTTTAGTTTAATATTTTCTTAACAATTTTTATGATTTTCACCTTAAAGGCTTTTATTTTACATTAATATTATAACGTGCTTATAATAACAATTAGTTAAGACGATACCTTATCATCGTTAAAAGTAATAAATATGTATATGAAACATTTTTAAATATATTCGATACTTAGTGGTTTATACTGGCATAAGCTAATTCCTTGCGAAGTGTCGTCGCAGGCCATAAGCTATCCAATATTTTTAATATAATAAATGTGTAAATTAAATTTACAAGAAAAATGTTCAAGTACTGTATTGTATATGTACACATATAGTGACTTATTGTCTAATAAAGAAAACGATTACCACACGCGATTACCCCCCTTTTTTCATTATCCTTTAATTTTCTCCGGTTGTGGATATTAAGCCGGCAGTAATAACCCGCCGACTGCCGTCATCCATCACGGGCAGTGCAATCGTTCCGCTGTCAGTTCTATTCCGAGACACTATATTTTCGCTAATGATTCCCTGGTGTAGTCACATCATGGACAGCTACGTAAACTGATTGATATATCAGCTCGTGCGAAAGTCCAATATTTTTCAAATAATATTGGATTTATCTAAAGTTTCTGCTCTAATTTCAAGATTATTCAAGCATTAGAGATGAGATTCCTCCAAAGCGCAAGTTAAACGTGCACAACTGCAGCGCTGTTTATGAGCTTTGTACAAATAAAATGCCGGATCGCGTTCCACGTGAGAGAGTTTATAATTTATTTGCTCGCAGTTTTCTGGCGACGATTTTCCCACAGGGGCGGCGTCTCAAACGAGCCGCGCCCGCCCTTTATGTGGTTTTTTGTAGCGACACAAAATACCCCGGTGGAAAACATTCAGTGATAACTGGTAACAATCGCTGCCGCCCGGATGCCCCTGCCATTCCACGCATACCTTCCATTGGACCTCGGCTCGCTTTTTCATCTAGCACCGCATCACTGAAAGATCGGCCTCGTGACTCGACTAATGAACATTGATTAATTAATTCTATTTAGAGATGATTAAACGAATTTAAAAAATAAGGGACGGGGAAAAATGTTTTAAGCGTTATTATTTTTAATTGACTAATATATTTAGAATGTAAATAATTTAATTAAAAGTACTTATTGGCAAATTAATTGCACTTAGATTACTTTAAATGTTAGAAAATAGAAAAACATAGTTTCCGTACAGGTATTTCAAACTTTGATCTATTCATACATATTTTAGGGTTTAATACTTTATATAGTATACCTACTTTAAAATATTTCTCAATTAACATTATTAAAATACTAGCATTGCCCGCGGCTGCGCTCGCGTTCAGATGACCAAAAAAAATTCCTAGGTTTTACATATTAGTATACTCTTACATGGCAGTTTTTGTATTTTTTTCACAAAAATGAGATATTTTCCCGCGGTAAAAAGTATCCTATATGTTGACCCGGATAACCAGCTATCACCATACCAAATTTCATCAAAATCCCTCCAGTGGTTTTTCTGTGATACGGTAACAGACAGACAGACAAAAATTCTAAAAACTATAGATTCGGCCTCTGTATCGATAATAATGTTTATTTCAATAAGATTTTCCAAAAAATATCTAATGTACAGATTCGGCTTAGTTACAATTTTATTATACTAGAAGAATGTATAAGTTTATATTATAATATCTGTGTGTATGACATGTGAGTGTATATTACACTTTCCAGAATAGCTTAGATGTCGTCTTTAATTCTACAATACAATTAATTCTACGTAATTGTTAAACTTATAATGTCATAGAAACATAAAATAAAAAATTACTCCTGTAACGCCATACTGTAAGCGACAAATTTCAAAGAAACGGAACATTTTCATGCTTTGCACCAGTACAAGTAGCATTTTTATTAATGTTCCATTGTTTCTTAATCGCCGCTCTAGATTTGATATAGCGATAAGTTAAAAGCATAATGTCGGATAAAGCGCCTTGCCTTTTCCAACCGAAAACCGAAAAGTAGCTACAGTAGATCAGATGTCAGATTCCTCATATCTCTAACTTGATCGCTATTTTACTCCTGAGTATTTAGAGTGAACGAGCGTCGATTTTTCAAATCGAAAAATCAGTTAAATGTCGTTTAAAATATTATACAGGGTCGCTGAAACATTAATTAAAATGTCTGGTACATAGCTTAATGAAATTAAGTGTACCTATCGGCAATCGTTATGACATTTTCTAAGTTTAATGTTTTCCAAAGTATGCGTTAATCAGGTCTTAATATTTTAGACTTTATTAAAGGTTTTTAATGGCAGCTAGCTAAGTAATATATTCTCTATTTTACGTGCAAGTGAGAGCTTTGTTACTTGGATATTGCGCCATGGCAAGCTAAAATTAATATCTCTGATCTTATAGGTATACAGAATATATAGAGATATAACGTCCTTTATGTGATAATGTAGAGTAAATTAATAGTTTGACACAAGATGTAAAAAGTTAATATTTAATCAGGGCACAAATTAAAAAAATAAATAAATAAGTAGGTACTATATCTACTCAAAATTAGCCATGTTGTACTATCATTTATTTCTATTTAAATAATTAAAAAAACTAATTACATACACAGTGTATGTAATTAGTTTTTTTAGACACTTATTCAATAGTGAGGCTTATTAAACTTTTAATATGATTAACTTTTAAATTGTTTTCTTTAAAGATTCGAAAGTTTTGCTTTTGTCCACAAGCGACATCTACTGTCAAAATAACGACTATTTATCTTAAGTTTATATTTTGGGCCATTCATAACTTTATGACGTGTGACGTACAAATCTGGCGAGATGTATCACCGTTCTAGTTTACTGACAATAAATCGTATGTTTAACGTCGCGGTGAATTGTTTATATAATTAACAATAGCATTATACACGATTTCCAAACTAAGCGGCGCAACGGTCGTTTGTCACGGAGTAAACTGCTATTTATGAGAAATGAGAATTATCACTACATCGCTTTATAGACACTGAGTATAGGCGTAATGTATTTAGCGTATTTTTATTCAGCCTAATTAATTTATTTTAAGAATAAGGACTTTTTAGATTTTTTAAGGGTCTACTATCTATATCCATATCGATAAATTCCTTTCCCAGAGCCTCTCACATGCATTGTTCAATAAACAGTCTGCTCATAAATAAGCCGTAGCTATTTAGCCAATCGGGCACCGATGGGCATTTGGTCAGATTCCAAAGCAGGCAGCCATGGAAGCCACGTGTGCTCGCCTCTGCATGCCGAATATGCAACCCTTGCTTGAATGTTGGCCCCCGTGCCGAATATTCCAGTATATCGGACAATGTGAGCGAATAATTCAATGCCGAAATGATATGTCGCTTTGCTTTCTCTGATTGCTATTTCGATGTTGACATTACTGATAACAATTGTAAACACCTGTCTATATTTTATAAATGACTTATTATTTTAACTATCGGATTTTTAAAATTTTTATAATTGCTTTTTTATACTTAATATACGTACATATATGTATATACCTATGTACACAAGAAAGTCAAAAAAATAAATTAATTATTTATGATATAACGAGAGTAACTTCATTATGAAAAGTATTTCAAGGGCATTTATCTTGCAAAAGCTTTTTTTTTTAATTTGCTTACAATTCTTATTTTATGTTTTGTTCATTATAGGTAAGTGACAAATGGAAAATTTACTACGGTGATTGTTACACTCATGATGCATCCAGCAGGATACTACGCGAATATCGGTAAGCAAACATGTAGGATTTAAAAACGAACTATACAGCATAATAATTTCATCTTTACTAAGAAATGAAATGAATCTATACGGTTTTCACTGTATTGACCATTTTAACCGTATTTATATTTGTCGATGAGTATTAGGATGTTATCGTTATGTATTGATAAGAATTATCTCTCTGATTTGATTGCTGGTAGCCTTTATCTCATAAATAGAACTATAAGGTATTATGAAAACTTTCCTTTTCAACCGACTTCAAAAAAGGAGGAGGTTCACAATTCGGTTGTATTAATTTATGTTTGTTACCTCAGTACTCCGTCATTTATTTGAATTGAAAACCAATTTGAAAAAATCTTTTTTTTGTATAGGTACTTCCAGTTTGGTCCCATTTACATTTAAAGAAAAAATAATCGACCAATGCAAATCAAAGCAAAGTTTACATCACAAATTGATGTAATATTTTAAACTATAATTAAAGTTTATGCCTTGTCATATTTACCTATTAGATATTCATATCTTAAAGGATTGTCGGCTGGCGCCGACTTCGAAAATATCTGATTATGTATATGTATCATAGTAAATGAAAACTCCCTTTCGTTAGTTATTTTTTACTTTTTAGTGTTTTGAAGTCGGTTTTTATTTTTTTTTTTCATATCATTATTGTAAATTAAACTAATTCCTATAAAATATTAAATATATTTTTTTCTGTGTACATAATCATTTAGTACCAATATAAAAATAACGCCATGATCTTTGCATTTACGTAAATAACATTAATTAAATATAATTTTAGTGCGCAATTAATAATATAGGAAAGTAAACTCTCTTTGAAAAGAAAAATAAATTAGTTTTACATTTAAATAAAAAAGATTTCTCGGTAAGTAATTAACAATTAAGAAATATCAAATTTGAACAAAACTAATGGCTAATTATTATTAATGTCGCCCTTTTGACCAACATAAAATTCACTATGCGTATTAATATTTCATATTTTTAACGCGCGGAATGTCTCGACCAAAGCCAAGGGCCGCTGGTTAAAATAAAATATGCCATAATTTTTACACTTTCTTACCATGATTTAGTATAGAAATCTCTATTTTTAATCGACTTCCAAAAAGGAGGAGGTTCTCAATTCGTCGGAATCTTTTTTTTTCTTTTTTTTTATGTATGTTCACCAATTACTCGAAAACGGAAATATGTCATTTATGAGAAAAAATATAAAAAATGTAAGAGTAGTTTTGGTCATCTGAACGCGGGCGGAGCAGCGGGTAATGCTAGTATAATATAACTTAATATGAAATTAAAAAAATAACAAGAAATGCAAACATTCAACATTCAAAACTCGTTTTGCCTGTAATAGCCTTACATATTATGAATTTTAGTCTATAAACTTTTAATTTGTTGTCGTTTAAAAGTTTCCAAAACTATACCTAATTAGTCCCGCAACGCTTACTCATCTATTACGGCTATTATCTGTCTTAATTATAATTCCTGTCCAATGCTTATCGCAACTTATCTTTTCCGCGAAATCCAAGATATCATATCGTGACATCACGTCTTTTGTAACCAAAATTTAGCTCTGCAATTATTATATTTCTTAAAATCACGCTTCGATAATAACTTAGAATGTTTGAATAAACGATTAAATTTAAATATATTATTACATATACTTTTGTATTTAATTAATTACCTAAAAATATGTAAGTAAAAATTTTAAATGTTTATTTTATATTTTTGAATTCTTAGAAACTTCATATATAAATGTGTATATTTTTATTTCAGTACAAAACTACGTATTGGAACTGTTAGAGACTAACTTTATTTAAAACACTAAATATTGATTCGCCTTTAATCTAAGGCTCCTACATTATGAATTTTAACATTACAATGTTATGTATGTATGTTATTTTACGGATATCACGTAAATTAACATTACGCGGAACAACTCAATATAATATGTGAATAAGTAATAAATAGAATAATAAATTTTACCTCTACAAAAGATCATTTAAATGCTTTTCCCTGACGCTTCTTAAAAGAAGGGCGAACTAGGAGCTATTCTCGGATTTTTATTAGTAACTAAAGTAATTCTCTGTAAAAGAAATTTCAACAAACTCGCTATATTTTGCAAATGTAATAAAGGGTCAAGATATATACATATGTACGTATCTTTGTTGCGAACTAATCTAGAACTTACTAAAAAGGTTTATTATTGTAAGAGCAGTGAGTTTCTCAGATTCCCAAAAAATATCTATAAGGGATTGTATGCTACATGAGTATATATACCTTAACTTTAGTAAATATTCTGCCGCATAAATAAAATCCAGACTCCAGAGCAGTGAGGTTCAGTTCCAGGGGTAAGAATCACTAGTACTATTTTTTTTCTTGGATCCCACAGAATATCCAAAAGGGACTTGTGCCACATAAGTATTAACTTAACTTTGGAAGATATTCCGCAGCATAAATAATATCCATATACATAAATGTAAAACCATCAAACAGCCTATATTAAAATCTTTTCAAAATTATGTCAAATATAAGTCGACTAGAATATTGAGTTCTGCACACAAATGTCACATTTCACCATTAAAATAGAGCGTATATTGATGAATGATCCGTCCCACCGTCTGAGAGTGTCAGGAATAGAGAGTACACTTGTGTCTGCGCGTACACTTGTGCACTATATAATAAATATCTCCTGCGCAGTTGGCTAGTCTCAATGAGATGGGCCGCCGTGGCCGGAATCGGTCAGGAGAACATCATCATCATATTGATGAATAATATTTGTCGCACACTTGGTCAGTTTTTTATATTGTAAGATTAGACATTTAGTTTTGATGCCAAAAAAGAAGAATATTTTGTAAAGCACGTTTTATTTGTTTTATGTAAATTTTTGCCTATTATATTCAAAAGGAAGATAAGTTCTATAATGTTGGACAGAAAGACGAACAAACACATAGCTATGCTCACTAATCGTCTCCCGATCATTTGGATTAGATACCAAATTACTTTAAATAGTTGGAAAATATAAGATGTGATTAGTGAAACTAAAAATGATATAACACTCTGTAATAGCTAATAATAATAATAATTACTAATCGTTAAATTGATCAATATAGTTATTCTAAATTAACACACATTTTTTATAAAATAATTACTGTAGTTGTACCAAATTTCACTTTTCAGTTCAATATGAACTCACATTTGATAATACCAATCAAGTTCAAGATTACATAAAGATAAAACTATGTTATATAATACAATGATAAATGTAATTAAGTGTATAATATGTAGATCACATGAGACGCATCGTTTAATAATCTATACTTAATATTATAAAGAGGTATTTATTTGTTTGTTTGAACGCGCTAATCTCAGGAACTACTAATCTGATTTATAAAATTCATTTTGCATTATAGAGCCCGTTTATATAGAAAGGCTATATATAGCCTATATACATGAACTATATTATGAACGAATTAACCACCTATATATCATCATTCTACTACCCAAGGGAGCGGAGCAGTGATCCTAAATGTCAACAAATCGGGCAGACTTACATACGTTATTGTAAAACTGATATTTATAATATGTTTAAGTGATTTAAGATTAGAAACTACTGAGCCCATTTAAAAAATGCCTTTTGCATAATGCTATAGAGATTATTTTTGCAGTTTTAGCGCCAACCGAAACCGCGGGTTCTGCTAGTAGTACCTAATATATGTATATTAGCAATATATAATTCAGCCCATTTAATATCTAAAAGCTAGTCACGGGATTCCCCTCAACACGAGAGAGTATTTAGCTAAGGTTCGCCACTCTGATAATATGTGTTCCCTCAATCATATAGGTTCTTCAGTGTTTTTATTCACTATATTATTAAGTGCTGAGAATGAGAACATAAGAAGTCCTTGGTAAAACCAACTACATTCTTTTCGTCTCTCCGAAAAGGACACTTATATTTCGTCACAAATAGACGGAGATACTAAAAGCTGGAAAACTTTTGTAATGAGCGCCAATGTCGGTTTTTCGAAAAATAAATTGTAATACAACTTTCACTTATTTCGAAATCAGATCAATACTGTACGATCGATCTTAACTCAAATAACGTAAAATAAATGTTCTTACTGAGAAAACTTATTAAGGATCTATTACTTTATTACGTTTTCTCAGTAAGAACTACAGATTCTTTTTTCTCTTTAATTTTTATCTTCAAACAGAAAGTCAAAATAATACTAGTGTAGATCTTTCTTGTGTAAATTAACTCGCTATTTAGTTTAACTCATCGTGTTGTTGTAGGCACTTATCGGGTTACACTTAGAGGTTAGACGGTAATAGTTTCCATATAAAAGTGGCAACCTGTTTAATATGAGTTGGATGATTTCAAAGAGGATTTTATTTTTAAAACAACATTTATAGTATTTTGTTATGTACTTAGTGTTTGTTCGTAACTTCGTCTTATATATTAAAACTTTAGTAATATGCTACGTAGGTATATAAAATATACATACATATGTATAAAGATGGTAGTAGACTAATGACGTTCAGTAATAATTGTAATAATTTAATGCTGAATAAAATATTTTGAATTCGATGGTAAAAGACAAATCAGCTAATAATAGTTTATTGAACACACTTTCAGACGTGATATTTTACTGTAACAAATATATTGTAGTTTACCTACCGAGAAACGGTTTCTTCTTGTTCATAGAGACTTTTAATTTATTAATTTCAAGTTTAATTGATTAATTAATTAATTAATGATTCAAAAACGCAAACGTGGGCTCGATGGAAAAAAACCATGAAAGTTACAATTTAAGTTTTTTAATAGCTCTTGTTGTTTCATATTATGTATGTAGGTATATGTTATTATGTATGTACCGCTTACCAGAGGGGTAAGTAAGGCAGTTCTAGAAAGAAATAACTTGTTTTTTGTCACTTACATTTTTAATGTTGTAAGAACAGCAAGTAAATTTTTTACTATGAAATGACTTGCAACATTATATT